TTGTTTCAACAGCATTTATTTCTGCTCTGATTTTTATTATTTCTCTCCTTCTTCTGACCTTGGGCTTTGTTTGTTCTTCTTTCTCTAGTTCAGTTAGGTGTAGTTTTAAGATTGCTTATTTGAGATTTTTCTTGTTTGTTGAGATGTGCCTGTATTGCGATGAATTTCCCTCTTAATACAGCTTTTGCTCTATCCATATGAGTTGATATGGCATGTTATCATTTTCATTTGTCTCCAGGTATTTTTTGATTTCTTCTTTAATTTCTTCAATGATCAATTGCTTGTTCAATAGCATGTTGTTTAGTCTCCACATCTTTGTGCCTTTCTCAGCTTTTTTCTTGTAATTAATTTCTAGCTTTATAACATTATGATTGGAGAAGATGCTTGTTATTATTTCAATATTTTAAATTTGTAGAGGCTTGCCTTGTTTCCCAACATATGGTCTATCCTTGAGAATGTTCCATGTGCGCTTGAGAAGAATGTGTTTTCTGCTGTTTTTTGATGGTGTGTTCTATACATGCCCATTATGTCCAACTGTTTTAGCTTTTCGTTTAGCTCCACTGTTTCCTTGTTGATTTTCTGTCTGGATGATCTGTCCATTGATGTGAGTGGGGTGTTGAGGTCCCCTACTATTATTGTGTTATTTTTGATATCTTCTTTTAGGTTTGTTAATAGTTGCTTTATGAACTTTGGTCCTCCTGTGTTGGGTGCATAGGTATTTATAAGTGTTATTTCTTCTTGATGCAGTGTCCCATTGATCATTATATATTGGCCCTCTATGTCTCTCTTTACCTGCCTTATCTTGAAATCTGTTTTGTCTGATGTAAGTATTGCGACACCTGCTTTCTTTTGTTTGCTAGTAGGTTGGAGTATTGTCTTCCACCCTTTCACTCTGAGCCTGTGTTTATTCTTGGAGGTGAGGTGTGTTTCCTGGAGGCAACAAATTGTTGGATCTTGTTCTTTAATCCATTTTGCCACTCTGTGTCTTTTTATTGGAGAGTTCAATCCGTTTACATTGAGGGTGAGTAGTGATGCATGAGGGCTTAATGCTGTCATTCCATTGCTTGTTTTCCAGTTTTCCTGCGTTTACTTTGTTTCTCGTCCTGTGTGTTTTAGCCTACCCATTGACTTCTGCAATTTCTTATGCTGGGTTTCTTAGCTTTTTCCTTATTTATGTTTTGTGTCTCTGTTCTGTTTTTTAGTTTAGTGGCTACCCTGCATGCAGTTTGTATTCAGAATCTCATATATAACATAGTCCATTTTCTGGTGGTCTCTTACTTACTTAGCCTAGACTGTTTCAGTCCCTTTCCTCCTCCTCTCCTAAATTATTATTTTCATCTCTTATTCTCACTTGTGTTGTGAGTTTGTGGTTAGTGTGATAAGATTGTCTTTGCTTTGTTGATTTCCTTCCCTTTATCCTAATGCTATAGTTGAATATTTTCTATCCTATTCCGATTCTATCTATTTGTCTCCCTACTCTGTGTTTTGTGACCTCTTTCTCTCTTCTTTTCTTTTTTCAGGTATGAGAGCCTTCTTGAGGATTTCTTGTAGGGCAGGTCTTGTGGCTGTGAAGTCCCTTAGCTTTTGTTTGTCTGGAAAAGATTTAATTTCTCCCTCATATCTGAAGGATATTTTTGCTGCATAGACTATTCTTGGCTGAAGATTTTTATACTTTAAAGTTTTGAATATGTCACTCCAATCTCTCCGAGCTTGTAAGGTTTCTGTAGAGAAATCTGCTGGAAGTCTGATAGGGCTTCCTTTGTAGGTTATTGTCTTCTGCCTTGCTGCCCTGAGTATTCTTTCTTTGTCATTCATTTTTGCCATTTTTACTACTATATACCTTGCAGTAGGTCTTTTTACATTGACAAATCTAGGAGATCTGAAAGCTTCCTCCACACACATTTTTCCCTCAATCCCTAGATTTGGGAAGTTATCTTCTATTATTTCTTTGAGCACACTTTCTGCTCCATTTTCCTTTTCCATGCCCTCAGGAATACCGATGATTCTTAAGTTGGATTTTCTCATTGAGTCAGCAATTTCTTGGAGATTTTCTTCAGTTTTTAAATTCTTAGCTCTATTTCTTCCTCTGTCTGGAGCCATTCAGCCTGTCTATCTTCAATTATGCTAATTTTCTCCTCTATGGTGTCTACCCAGGCATTCAGGGAATCCATATTCTGTTTTATCTGATCCATTGTATTTTTCATCTCTAGTATTTCTGATTGATTCTTCTTTATAGTTTCAATCTCTTTTGTGAAGTAACCCCAGAACTCGTTGACTTGTTTCTCTATATTTCCCTTTACCTCATTGAGTTTTTTGATGATAGCTACTCTGAATTCATTGTCACTTAGCTTACCTATTTCCAAGCCATCAGGACCTACTTCTGTGTTTTTATTGTTTTCCCTTTGGTCTGGAGGTTTCACAAATTGCTGGATGGTAGAGGAGCAGTTTTTGTGCATGATGCTGTTATTTGGTTGCAGTTACAGCCTGTCGCAACTAGATGGGGGTCAAGAGCTGCGCATTCTGAGCTCTCCGCCTTCAGCCCCGGTGGTGGGTGTGCAGGGCGGGTTGAGGGAGGAGGGGCACGTTCACTCACGGTGACCTGGATTCCTATCAGCTCTTGCTCTCTGGTCTCCCGGGGCCCTGGCTTGATGGGGTCCCCTCAAATGAAAGCTTTCCCCTGTTAGCGGATTTCCGCTGCATGGGTGGTGGGAGTCCTGGATGATCCCTGGATGCGTGGCCCCTCCCCTGCTCCTTCCCTCCCCTGCAGCAGAAATCCCAGTCTCTAGGGGTGGGAGTGAAGTTCTGTCCTACCCCATTCCAGCTCCTCCGAGGGCAGCTCCAGCCTCTGCGCCCTCTGTCGTTTGGCTGCTGTGGGTCTCTGACGATCTCTGTGTTATTAGGATTCTTTTGTGGCTATGTGGTTGCTCCTTTTGGTTGTAAGTTGGAGAGGAGAGAGTCCCGGGTGAGCTCACCCTGCCATGTTGCTGATGTCACCTCTCTGAGAGCTGATGTTCTTGAAGGTCAGTCCCAGGCCCTGCGCTCCGGGGCCTCTGTCTGGTGGCAGAGACAGGAACAGCTGAGACCACCCCACACAGTGTGGTGAGAGCCATGCCGGGGGCAGCCAGGGGCTCATGGAGCCCAGAGGAGATCTTTACCACTTGCTCCCCCACCAGCCCTGACTCACAGACTTCACCCTCCAACAGGTTTTAATGAAGTCATTCGACAAATCAATCAGCAAACATTTATTGAGCAGCTACTGTGTCCTAAGCTTGGAGCTGAGAATTAAGGATGCAATGGGGGATAAGATTCACAGTCACCACAAGCCCTGGTGAGGGAACTCACCGTGGACAGGGGGATGGGTGGCAAGGGCAGGTGCTCTAAGACAGGGCCCTGGGAGGGGACACCGAGGAGTGGAGGGAGCCTGAGAAGCAGCACCAGCCTCAGGATTTATCTTCTCTCAGGAATCCAAAAATGGCAACTCTCACTCCAGCTAGGATTGTTGTGGTCATCACCAGTACAATGATCAGGCATGTGGATTGAGAGACCAGACAGTAGGGGCTTTGGGGCAAATATACTTCGGGCTGCAGCTCCAGGCTGCTGCTGACTAGCTGTGTGACCTTGGGCAAGTTGCTTGCCCTCTCTGGGTCTCCATTTCTCATCTATAAATAGGAACAAAGACCTAGCACCCTCACCTGCTTGTCCTTGCATGTGGGATGGGGTAGACCCCAGGAGCAGGCTCTGCGTCCAAGGGGAGAGGACGGGGCTTTAAGGTCACATCTTCTCAGTGAGAACCACTCCCCCAGGGGGCACCTAGGAACCCAGGACTGCCTGGGCTTGTCCCATCCGGGGCTGTATTCTCTGCTCCCTGTGTCTTGGGGTCTTGTTGGCAAGAGGCTGTGTCCTGGGCTTTGTTCTCTCGGATTGTTTTTGTGGTGGAATGTGGAACTATCCAGATTCCTTTACTCACACCTCCTTTCAGCCTCTGCCTCATTCCTTGGTTCCCTTTGGCAACAAGACTTCTTGAAACAGTTGTCCACGCTCACTGGACTGAATGTCACCTTCCCTCTGCTCTGGATTCCTCTCCACCACTCTCTTGACATGAGTGGTCATATCAAGGTCACCAATGGCCTCCACGTGGCTGAGCCCCAGGGCCCGCTGTCGGCCTTCATCTTGCCTGGCCAGCGAGCTGACAGCTCCCTCCTGCCTGCTGCACTGACCCTCCCAGGGCGCCCCTCGCTGGTGCTCCCTCTCAGTCATCTTTTCTGTTCTCTGGAGGCTCCCACCTGTTGCCGCTGGCTCCTGTGGGCTTGGTGCTTCGGCCCTTTCTGTTCTTTCTCTGCACTCACTCTCTTGGTGTCTTAGCCATTCTCGTGGCCCCCGGGTTGACGTCTCCAGTCTTGGTATCTCCTAGACTCTGTATCTAGTAGGATGCTGCTAGACACCCGGATACCTAGTCATGTCTCAGACTTGACGTCGCCTGAAGCTGAGCTCCTGCTCTGCTCCCAAACTGCCTCCCATCGCCTTCCTCACGGCAGGTCACGGTCGCCCCATCCTCCCCAGGTCTCAGGCACCCTCACGCCCCATGCCCAGCCTGTCAGCACACCTGGGGGCTCCATCTTTACAACTTGCCCAGAAGCAGAGCCCCGCTCGCCCTCCACCACCGGCACCCTGGTCCAGGCCCCCAGTGTCTCCAACTGGGTCACGGCTGCAGCCTCCCAGCGGACCTCCCTGCTCCTGCCCTGTCCCGTCCCTCAGCCTGGCAGGTTGGAGGAGCCTTTGAAAACAGAAGCAGATCTGGCCCCCCTGCTCAGAACCTGCGGGAGCTCTGCCTCAGTGGAAGTCATCCAGAGTCCTCGCCGTGGGCTTCACAGCACACTGTCCCCTCTGCTCCCTGCCCTCTGTCTTCTCCACTCGCTCTGCCCTCCCCATGAACACACAGTCGCGCTCCTGCTTCAGAACATTGTGCGTGCTGCTCCCCAGGCCTGGAATGCTTTTCGACAATGTACCGTGTGCTTGTTCCCTCACCTCCCCCAGATCGAGGCTCCAAGCCTCCCCCCAGGATCCAGGGTGAGAGGCCGGATGGTGCAGTAGTTAGGGGCCCAGATGGCAGAGGAAACTGCCTGGGTTTGACCCCAGGCTCTGCCGCTCACAGACGGCTACTTAGCTCTCTCTTTCCTCTTCTACAAAACCATGATCATGACCGTCCCTCCTTCCAGAGGTCACTGTGAGGAACCACTGAATTGAAATACACAACATCCTTGGAAGAGGTGCTTACTGCAACACAGTGTACAGTAGGATGCTAAGGGCTACATGGTATTTGCTGCCATTATGATGATCTGGACTTAACTCAGACTCGGGGGCCTCAGCAGGGGCCAAGCAGAACAGGGCTCATCCTCCAACAAGAAGAAGGAAGGGAGGGAGGCAAGGAAGGAAGAAGGGAGGGGCCCCGTCTGTGGCAGCGGAGGTCAATGTCCTCTCTCCAGATTGGGGCTGGGCGTTTTGCCACCTTGCCAGCCTAGGCTGGTGCCGGGGCTGCCCAAGCAGAGCAGCCCTCCCCACCTTGCCCAGCGGCCCAGAACAGCCTCTTTACACCCAACTCCTGACGTGAGGGCTGGAGACTTGGATTCAGTGCAAGGACAGCTCTTCTAATAGAGTGAAGGACAATGAAACTGGCTGCCAAAATGGGTGGTGCGTGGCCCACTGTGAGGGGGCGTGCAAGAAGAAGTAGGATAACAGTTGACGCGGATATACAGTTTTTATTCAGCACCTGCCCTGTCCAGGCCCTGTGTTAGGTAACAGGGACACCAAGATGAGGAAGACACAGGCCCTGCTGTCCAGCTGCCCTCGGTCTAGTGAGAGGGTCTGACATGTCAGCCGACAGAAGCCCGTAGTGTGACCAGGACTGTATTGGGCTCTGAGCAGGATCTGTGGGGCCCTGCAGGCAGGGAGCCCAACAACCCGGACGGCAGTGCTGGGAATCAGTAAGTGACGTGATGACCAGTCCAGAGACAGGACTTTTGCAGTTGGGGGCCATTCTGAGCCTCCCCCCTGGTGTGGGGGCTGGGCGGGGATTTGCATCCCCATTTCCCAGAGGAGGACCAAGGAGTAGGTGCAGGAGCTCAGTGGAGGGGCTGTCCTCAGTGTCTGGTTGTTACTGTCAGGACTCAGGGCAGCCCTGTGTCCCCCACAGGTGCGCAGCCACCGAGCAGCCTGCTGGCTCTGGCCCTGGCCTGCGTCCTGGTGCTGGCTGGTGTGACCCTTGCTTGCCTCTTCAGGTGAGACTCTGCACCCGAGCCTCGTTCTGCCCCTCTGTGTCTCCTCCCTGCACGGCCTCTCTCCTGCATGCACAGCCCCGGCAATCCGCAGGGGGCTTTCCCGTCCTTGGTGCCAGGACCTCAGGACCACCCAGCACTCTGTCCATCGCTGAGCCTCGCTCAAGGCCCTGTCAAGGCCGGGTGCCTCCTGAAGAGGTCCCTCTGAGACATGAAGAAGAAGCCTGGGACCTCGGACAACACTCCATCCCTCCGTGAGCTTCGGGCCACGCATCTGTACAATGAGGGCTTGGCCAGGATGACCCCCAGGGCCCTTCAGCTTTGAAATCAATTCTTCCTGGGTCTGAAGTCCTCTGAGTTCCCACATCCGAGAAGGGGAAGCACTCTACCCCCAGCCCTCACCCCGGGTTCTGGCCACCCCAGGAGGCCTCCAGGCAACTTGGGAACACCGAGGCTGGGGACCAGCAGGCACATCAGGCTGGTCCAGGTCTGAGCCGGGCCGAGGGCCTCTCTCGGGGACAGTGCTCGGTGGTGCCCTCTCAGCCCACCTGGGACTGCTGGGGAGACAGGAAGGGGAACAGAGAGAGGATAGGGGAGGGCTCTGGGTCAGTGGCAAGTCCAAGGGACCAGACTGAGCGGGGAGTGACATTGGCACCATCCCCTCTGCCCTGCACTTTCTCTTGCCTCCAGACTGGGCATCCAGCAGCTGCAGCTGGCGCGGGGCTCCCACTGGATCCTGCTGACAGCCCAGGAGCTCACCTTCATCCATCTGCCCTCGAGCACACAGGTGGGTGGGGCAGGCGCTGGGCTGGGTTGGCAGGCCGTGGACTCAGGCCAGGTCTAGGCTCTTGACGTGCCTGCTCCCTCCAGAGGCTTTACGTGGACAGTGTGAGTGAATCGAGAAGTGTGGCAGATGGGGGGAGCTTGAGGTCTGTGGTCCAGGGGTCAGCAAGGAGCCTGCCAGCCCCCCAGGAGCCCACCAACATGGCCCCGTGCTAGGTGAGGGCCTCTGCCACAGCCACGCCAAGGCCTGGGGAGCTAAAGGCATTTTGGGAGAAGCCAAGGGAACTTACAGCCTCTTGGGCTTCTGTAGGCCCACTGCTGTTACAGGATGGGAAACTGAGGCCCGAAGAGGGGCAGTGATTTTCCTGGGCCCCTCAGCCAGTCGGCAGCAGATCTGGAAGTGGGGAGCAGGGCTCCAGCTCCTGGTCCGGCGTCGTTCGTGATCTGACCATGGAAAACAACCAGTTCCCAGCCACTGAGGCCTGGGCACTGCCAGCCTGGGTCCATCCCGGGCTCCCTCTCAGCACTGGGGCCAGCCTAGGTCACCCTCCTCCTGCCTCGGCAAGGAGCAGGGAGATCCCGGGTCCCTGAGACCCTGTCATGTGGGCCACCAGCCGACAGGGAGACTGGAAGCTCAGAGGTTAGACCACAAGATTCTAAAGTTGCTGAGGACACTGCGGTTTCTCAGGTGCTGTGTTCTCCGACACAGCTCCCTGAGGCTCCGATTCACACGTCCGTGGCTCACGGTGGATGAGCCGGGCTAGTCGTTTCCACAGGAAGCAACATGAGGCTCCTGTCCTTCTTTCCCACCTTCTCCCCTGGGGAATTCCACCTTTTTTCTTTCCTGCTGAGAGGAGGCCTCACTGATATACGAAGGATGCCTTGTCTGCTCCTCTGAGTTCGCTGGCAGGCTGGGCATGAGGCTGAGGAGGCAGAAATCCCTCAGTGAGGAGGGCAGAGAGGGCGAGGGTGACAACCAGCTCCGGGCCAAGCCGGGGCAAGGACACAGCCCCAGGCCTCCGCCTCTCCCACCCTCCCCTCTCTGCTCCCCCGGAGTCTCTGGGTCACGGAGCCCCCCTCACTTCATGGGATTTGGGGTGTCGTGGGTACACAAGGCCTGCCTCCGTCTCTTGAGAAAGGTAGGGCTGCAGAGGGCGGGGAGTGGGCGCAGAGGGGGTGCTGTCAGGAGACCCCTGCCGGTCTGGATGGGGCCCTCCTCGATGTGGAAGTCGGTAGCCTCAGAAAGGAAGTCCTTCTTACTCTCAGTGCCAGGACCTCAGTCACAATTATACAGCATCACTGTCACCATCGCACACCAGCATCTCTAGAGTCACATCACCACAGCAACATGATCGTCACCATGACCACTAGCGGCACAGGTCCCCTCCATCAGCATCATCACACGCACAATCCACACCATCGAAGGACCCCATCCTGCATCCTCCATCCCTCACCCGTCCTCCCGTTTAGTCACTGTTTATTGAGCACTGCCTATGTGCCAGGCTGTGTTCTGGGTTTGGGGGGCACAGCCATGAAGAGAGAGACGGGGTTCCTTCCCTTGGGGAGCTTCCAATCACTTGATCACATAAGCCCCTTCACCCCCGAGATCGTCAGCATCCTGAGAGGCACTGAGGGATGGAGGACGGAGCGCAGGAGATGAGTCAGGAAGACTCCGGGTGGAACTCGGCCTCCCCGAGACACTCGGCTTTCCTGTAAGATGGAGCTAATGAGCTCCCCCCGGGGGATTACGAGGATTGGAGAAAGTACGTGAAATAACCCAGAACTGTCCCTGGTGAGTCACATGCCTTTGACAAACAGTGAATTTTATTATTGTGTCCAACGTGACCGCTGTCTGAAATCAGCTCGGGGAGATTAAGCGACTGGAGGTTAGGTTAGCTATTTTCTGGCGGGCGTCTTGCAAGCAGTGTGAGTACAGGTTTCTTAAAAGAAAAGGTTCTATACACGGTCAGATAAGTTTATAAATTGTTTGGGTTAGCCATAGGATTTCTCAGAACCTTTAGTAGGCTGTTCTGGTTGTCTATGACTGTGTAACAACTTGCCCCAAAACAGCAACCATTTTATAATATCTTACAATTTTGTGGGTGGGAAATTTGGGCAGGGCTCAGCTGGGCAATACTTCAGTTCCACCTGGCATCGGTGGGGTCACTCAGTGGTGTTCAGCTTGTAGATGAGCTGTCAGAGGTTGGCAAGCTCTGGCCCGCAGGCCGGGTCAGGCTCACTGACTGTTTTTATAAATAAAGTTTTGTAGGAACCCAACCATGACCATTTGTTGTGTATTGTTGACAGCTGCTTTCGCCCTACAACGGCAGAATATTTGTGACAGAAACTACATGGCCCACAACGCTAAGAAATTTACTCTCTGGACTTTTTCAGAAAAGTTTGCTGAGCCCTGGTTCAGAGGGGCTGGAATGGCCTCACTCACGTGCTTGGTGCCCTGAGCGGGCTCAGCCGGACCTGTCTTCCGGCTCTGGGTGGTCTCAGGGCCTCTCCATGCGGTCTCTCCAGCGGGGTCACTCTGGGTAGAGGGACTTCTGATGGCCGGTCAGGGCTCCAGGAGAGAGGGCTCCAAGGGATGGGAAACAGAGCAGCCAGTCTCCTAAGACTCAGACCCCAAATGCACCAGACCGTTCCACCGTGTTCTGTGGGTCACAGCAGGCACAGAAGCCACTCAGATTCGAGGGGCGGGACGGAGGTCCCACTTCATGATGGCAGGAGTGGCAGAGGATTTGAGGTCCTTCTTAAGTCACCATAGGTGCTATTTGGCTGTGACTCTCAGAGGGGGCTGCTACAGTGCCCGTTGCCCCGTAGACGCGGGAGCTGTGGCACAAGAACCTGGCCACCTGCCTGGGCTTCTTCGTGGCCCCCGGGCTCTGCATGGTGGTTCTGGAGCACTGTGCCTGGGGCAGCCTGGAGGACCTGCCGTGGAACGAGGCTCTGCCGCTGGGGTGGACCTTCAAGGCCTCACTCCTGCTGGTCTTGCTCCACGTGAGCACCCTCCCCAGGCCTGGAGCTGTGGGGGATGGGGAGGGTGGCGAGATGAGAGATGCTTCCATTCCCCAGACCTGAGCTCTTTCCATTTTTAAGGAAAATCTGAACGGTATGACAAAGGGTTCTGGGGTCTGTGGGAATTCTGAGAGGACCGGGGGTCCCTTTCACTCATCACAGGCCTGATCGACCCCCATTATGTCCACTCTAGGGCGGGCGGTATCTGCACCATCGACATTTCCCTCACGGCCGCCTCAAGTCCCGAAACCGTGGTGGATGGACGCTTTGTACTGAAGGTCACTGACCATGGTTACGCGGAGCTCCTGGAGGCTCAGGGGGCTCCCCGCTCCTGGCTGGCCCCAGAAGGTCAGCTCAGGAGTGGGCAGGGGGCTGCCAGGAGGCTCTGAGGCCTCTGTTTAAATCAGGTGCTTGTGAGGCAGAAGAGAGGGGAGATGTCCAGTCCTCCGGCTCTTCCTGCGCTGTGACCTTGAGTTGATGACTTTTCCTCACTGAGCCTCAGGCCCCTTACCTGTAAATGGGGAGAATGAAGCTTCTATCTCCCTGGGGGACTGTAGGGAGAGGGCAATGACCCCACAGGTGTGAAGCATCTGCCTAGCTCAGCCCCGCTTGGGTGGTCCGGTGGTGATGGTGGTGTGGCCCTGCCCTGTGATTGCAGAGCTGCTGTGGACGGCTCCGGAGCTGGTGCAGGGGCCCGGGATACCCGGGCGGGGCACCCTGAGAGGAGACGTCTTCAGCATCAGCATCATCCTGCAGGAGGTGCTCACTCGAGGCTCGCCCTACTGCTCCTTGGGGCTCTCGGCAGAAGGTACAGCACTCTTTCTCCTTCCTTGGCCTGTCCCTGACGGCAGTCTCCACGTAGTTCAGTTGCTCTTTGACCATCAGGAAATCCAGGCCTGAAAATAACCACACAGACACACGTGCCTTGGGTCTCTTTGGCTTCAGCCGGGCATCCTTCAGCAACTCTGCCAAAATAGCAGCTGACCAGCTCCAGCGCTAAAGATGGTGGTTTCTAAGTGGAAGGTCTGACCCGTGCCTTCCTCAACCAGTGTCACTGCCGTGCCCGCGGGTGCTCCTGCCCTAATCACCCACTGCCCAGCACAGATTATTTGTCTAGGCAGACCTCAGCTCTTCCCCAGCTCTATCACATACTGTGTGACCTTACAGAAATCACTTACCCTCTCTGAGCCTCAGTTTTCTCATCTTTAAAATGGGGATCCGATATAAAATGTGCCAGACCCCCAACCCATGTCTGATGTGGCCCGGCCGCTCAGTATTTGGGGGCTTGGTTCTCTGCCCAGGGTGGGCTCCTTCAAGAGCATCTCTGTCCCCATACTCCTGGGCGTACAGGTTAGTCCCTCACACCTTCCCCACTGTCACCTGGTCTTAGTTTCTCTCTTCTGACCCCAGTGCCAGGGCCCACTTCGGAAATGTTTTCTCCCCTTCCGTGTTCTCTCTCCGGGCTCCCTGGACCCCGGGGTGCTCATCCAGTTGTCCCTCTGCTGCCTCTGCTCCACCCCAGGGACCTGTGCCCGCAGATGCCCTGGCATCTCAGCCGCCATGCAGGGCCGTGGTAGAGCCGAGCCCACCATCCCCTCCCACCACAGTGGATAATCTTTAACTCATGGGGAGGCCTGGCCCCACTCCCTTTCTCCCTCAAAGCACGGCTCAGAGAATAATGAGCATTCCAGGCCCCAAATTTATGAGGTGGAGGAGTGGGAAGGAGAGGGGCTTTGTCAGGCTGTTTGTTCAACACCTCAGCCGCCCCCCCACATCTGCCCGCTGGGAGCAGAAGACCAGCAGATGTCTACAAGCCGCGCTGCAGTGCAGGCCCTTCAGGCCGCCGCCCGGTCAGGCTCTCTGCAGGGCCCAGGCCTGGAGCTCCACGGCCAGCCTCGCTCGGACTGGGCCGTCAGGCCAGTGCCTGAGACCTCCTGGGCTGTGCTCTCCCTGGTCTCAGGGAGTACAGTGTTGAGAGCACAGGCGTCAGCCGACACTGACCTAAGCCCCACTCCGCACGGAGTCACCTCATGGCTCTGAGGAAGCACCTTTCAGGCTCCGAGCCTCAGTTTCCTCATCTGTAAAATGGGAACCGTGATGCCTGCTCCCAGAATGGTCACGAGGATTCAGTGAAATGCTTTAGACAAACTACCTGACCCATGGTGGGCACACAAACATCTGCCTGGGGGGTTTTAGGGTGGGCTGATGGGGGACCCCAGGTTCTTTCCTGACTCTCCTGCTTGGGACCAGAACTCACGTTAGAAAAACATCTTAGAAATGACATCTCTAAGATCCTGTGTGTGCAGGGCACTTGCAGTTTCCAAACCACCTTCACATGCCTTATTCCCCTGGACAGCCTGGGAGGTGGGTCAGCGGCATCTTTTCAGTTAGTTGACTGAGGCTCAGAGGAAGGAAGGGGCTTCTCAGCGGGAAGCAGTGGGTCTGGGGTGGGGCAAGCTCAGGGCTCTTGACCTAAGATCTCTTGGGGTCATTCAGGGAGCATCTTCCCGCGGAGCTGGAGGGGTGGCCTCCTCGCTCAGCCATCAGCAGGGCCGAGCAGTCGGAGCGATGCACTGGGTGTGGCCGGCGGGCCTGGCACCGTCACAGAGCACGAGAGCGGCCTGGCCCGGGCCAGTGCTTCCCAGCATGTTCGCGTATGAGAACTCCATTTTAATGTCCAAAAAGTTCGGAGCCTCACATGGTCTTATTTGACTTTTAATATCTGCTGACTGGAAAAACACCCAAAGACGAAATCTGGTCTGAAATCAGCAATGCTTTGAAATGGACTCGTATTTTATTCATCACAACACCATCTGCAGGCTTTTGAAGCAGAGCTGTGCGCGTGTGTGCGTGATGAATCCATCATCCCAGACGAGCTCCCAGACGAGCGGAGGATCCCAGCCCTCCTGCGAGACTGAGCCGCTCTCCTCTCTTGGCCCTCTGAGGTCCTCTCTGTTACTGTGCCCCGTTTATGGGAAAGGAAACTGAGCCTCAGAGAGGTGACGTAACACCTGTAAGCAGATTGTCTCCAAGTCCCCTCCCAATCTGCTGAAAGCCTGGGCTTGGGCCCAGCTCCTCTTCCTCTCAGTGTCCTCGTGAGTCTCTCAGCTCCCCTAGCTCTCCAGCAGCTTCCGGAGGGGGGCTTATTCCCCTCAGTTATCAGGTGGGGGAACCGAGGCACAGAGCGATGGCAAGTGGCAGAGCCAGCTCTAGAACGCTGATCTTTCTGACCTCAACTTTTTCTGGTCACCTTTATCACACGGAGTGCGGACAGGAAGGTCCACGGCAGGACTGTCGTGGGAAACTAGCAATGACGATGAAGACGCTGATGGTGCTAAGCAGACCGTGTTGCTTCACACTGTGAGGAGCCGGCCCCAGAGCGTCTCCAGGGGGCGGGGCTGTAGAAAGCACCACGGGCGGCATCAGGGCTCCGAGTGGAGTGCGTTGGGCGTCGCTGGGACAGAACAGCAGCCACTGCTGCCACGTCTGGGTGGGGAGAGCCTGCAAGGTGCCAGGCACCTAACATCCATCGTCTCCCCCCTCAGCACCCCTCTCAAGAGGCACTTCATTAAGCTCATTTCACAGATGGGGAGACTGAGGCTCCGAGACGTCATCGCCTTGTCCTGTATCTCATAGAGAGGTAGAGGCAGATCGAGAACCCAAACCTCGCACTCCCGGCTCTTAGTCTGGGATCCTTTTCCTAGCCACATCCCTGGGGGGTGGGGGGCACCCAGGAAGGCAGCCATCCTGGGTCCACTGGCCAGCAGGCTCTGGGGCACACAGCAGGGGGCCAAAGAGTACCCTCAGGGCCTGATCCCTGCACCCCCGCAGGCCTACCCTGTCCTCCCTCTCAGGACCCCAGGCCAGCCCCCTCCCACAAGCCCTCCTGGGGACCTCAGGCCCACTGTCCCCTCAGTGTCTGTGGCAGAAATCATCAGGAGGGTGGCGTCTCCCCATCCCCTGTGCTGGCCACGGGTGTCTCCTGACCACATGCCACCTGAGTGCATCCGGCTGATGGAGCAGTGCTGGGAGGAGGCCCCTGAGGACAGACCCAGCCTGGACCAGACCTACCCCCAGGTCAGTGCACCCTGGAGGAGCTGGGTACTCACAAGAAATGGCTGATCAGCTCACCTCACTTTGCCCAGTGGGAGCCAGACACTGTCGCTGGGGCCTAGAAACCCTATGCAGTAAAGGGCAATGGGCTAGCACCATCCTCCCTGAGGGTGGGGCCTGGGGTCCACCATTTGAGGAGAGCTTTCCCAGAGCCTTGTTCCTTGGACGTTTGTTGAGGGCCTTCCTGGGCACCCCTGCTAAGTGCTATGCTTACTTCATTTAATCTTATGATCACAGTGGCCATCCTTAAGGAGCATTGTTATCATCTTGGCTTTACAGGAGAGAAACTGAGGCACAGAGAGGTGAGGGAACTTGCCTAAGATAACTGAGGGAGGTGGGACTGGAATCCAGACCCAGGTTTGTCCGTCTGCAGAGCTGGTGCTGGGAGCCGCAGCCCTGTACCAGGCCTCCTGGCACCGGAGCGGAGAGGCCCTCTGTGGCTGGGGAGGCAGCACTGGTTCCCCACGTTGGGGAAGGGAGGATGCGAGGGGCACAGGGCCCCCAGACCTGCCTTGGGACTGCAGCGGGAGGGGGCGAGGCAAGCCTGTACGAGTTTGCGGGGCGGTGGTGGAGTATGTGGGCCTGACTGAACCAGCTAATAGCTCCCACAGGGCCAACCCATCCAGCCCGAGGTGACACGCGCAGGCCTCCCCTTCCGCCCTCCACTCCCCAGCTGCAGCAGCGCGTTGCCGAGGAGAGGCTCAGCAAGGAGAGGTGCGCCCAGACAGGCAATGAGGGAGCGAGGGGCAGGAAGACGGATCGAGGAGAAACTCACGGTGTCCTCTGAAAAGCCTCACCACGTGCCCTCCCCACCTCAGCTCTGGCATCCGGGGCACTGTCTACACTTCACAGACGAGAAATCTGGACCTCAGAGCAAATGAGCGCTCAGTGGCCACATGAGGGTGGGTGCAGAGCCGGGACAAGCAACTGGTTCTTAGAACCCCAGCAGGGACTCTTTCCAGAGATCGGAGATTGCCGTGGCCAGCAAGGCGAGGCGACCGTGGGGGAAGATGCTGCCTCAGGCCCAGCAGCAGAGGAGGCAGAAAAGGGCACATGGTACAAACAGCACATGGAAGGTGGGGAGTGTGTCGGGGGCTGAGGGTCCGGATGCCTGCAGAATGCTGGCCTGGGCAAGTTGATTCTCTGTCGAGCCTCAGCCTCCTTAAGAGTTGCCTGGGAAGACCGACTCTGGCCTAACTTGCCATACTGGAGAGACCAATGTTAAGTAAAAAAAAACGAAAGGAAAAAAGGTGATTCCCTGAAAAGGAGAGAGTGGGTGAGGAACTGGAGAAAGAGCACGGACCTTGAAGTCAAAAGACCCGAGTTTAAGTTCACTTAACATTGTTCTGGGAGTACCAGCCGACACAATTAAACAGGAAAACGCATATTAGAAAGGAAGAAGAAAATGATGGTATTTGCAGATCCTATGACTGTGCTCCTGGGCAATGCAAGGGAAACAGTGTAACATTCCAAGTGATAAAATAATTCAGCAGGCTGGCAGATGACAAGATTAATATATAAAAGTGTGAAAGCCAGTTCCACCACGGTGAGGTCCTCGCCAGTCGTTTCACCTCTCAGATCCTTCGTTTCTTCATTTGAAAGGGAGCCCTCCTTGCAGGTAACCTTGTAGTCAGCTTCGTGTCCTTGGTGTCTCAAGGTCATCAGCTATCACGCCCACCCCCACTGACCTTTAATGCTTATGCCTCTGCCTTTAACAGGTAATACAAAATGGGGGGACTTTGGGGGCCGCTGCCGCTCCGCACCTTACAGACCTTTGGTTGAGAGAAGTGGTATCGATGGAGATTGGATACACACATGTACACGCACACACACACACACACACTCAGATGCTGGATTTAGACGGGACTGGACCCCTTCACTTTGACCATCATGAATTTGCTTCTACTGACTGCACTTTGAAAAGGTGCAAGCCACGTTGGGGAAGCTTCTAGTAAATCTCCTTAGGAAGCACGCTGTCATATTTCCTGTAAGGTTGTTCTTGAAGGTACGATTTGTGACCAAACGTGAATGTCCTCAAACGAACACCTAGGAGAGGTACTTCTCCCTGCTCGGTGCCTGCAGCAGCTGTGTTTCTTTTGAGCAACCAGTTTTCTGCTCCATTGTCTCATGGACTCCACAGATTGTGTAACCTATGTTTCCCTCTTTGCTTTGTTGCTAGGAAGCTCATATCCAAAATTGTGACCAAAAGTGTAGCATGCATTTTGCGTATAGACTTCACTCCTGGATTAGTTTTTTTTTTTAACCTTTACTCTCCTTTGGTCCCAGTGGCCTTACACATTTATTATTTTATTTTATGGTATTGCTTCATTTTCCTTAGTACTTAAAAATGTTTTTGGAGCAAATAGAAGTAGAGAGGTAGAAACAGATTATACATATAAATAATCTACAGATATTCTTTTTATCTATCTATCCACCCATCTATCCATCCACTTGTCCATCCATCCATCTGTCATATCCACCCACCTATCTATTATCTGTCTATTTATCAATCAATTGATTGATGCATCCATCCATCCATCCATCCATCCATCCATCTATCCATCCATCCATCCATCCATCCTTCTATCTTCAAGAAAAACAAAGAAGGCCTATTCCACAGTGTCGTTGTGAGAACCAGGGCAGCAGGGTCACTGTCTGCTAACAGTAATGCTGTGCTGGGCACAGGCTCTTTCGTGAAGTCCTCTCCCTGCCTGTCCACCCCACACAGAACTAACCCGTTTTTCCCCCCAGCTGTGTGTGGTTTCCCTTGTCAGAGCTGCCACCTCGTGTCTGTCACATGCCTGCTCCCCACCGATCCAGCTCCTCCAGGCAGGGACTCCCTCTGGTTCGTTCCTGTGGCCCAGACTCCCATGCTGAGGGCCGAGGGCGCTGAGTTCCATGGATAAATTGGGATTTTCGTTTCATCGTCAGTTCAAAAGCATCAATCAAGGCAACAAGACCAGTCCTGCTGACTCTATGCCGCGGATGCTGGAGAAGTATTCCCAGAGCCTGGAGGACCTGGTCCGGGAGCGGACTGAGGAGCTGGAGCTGGAGAGGCAGAGGACAGAGAGCCTGCTCTTCCAGATGCTCCCTCCGTGAGTGGCCCCTCAGGCCTGACGCTGCCTCTAGCCAGTGGCTCCGAGCGCGGGAGCTGGAACACGGCAGGCGCTCAGTAAATCTGGACCCCTTGGATTCATTCAGTTCATTCATTGTTCATTTATCTAGCATGTTCCCACAGAGCCCTTCTATGTGCCGGGCACTGTGCTGGGCATGCAGTACTGAATTTCTGCTACCTCTCTCCCTTGGGAACAGGGAGAGGGCCCAAGGTCCCCCATCTGACTTCAGAAGAAGTAATGTCCAGAGAGGGACAGCTAGAGCTGCTGCCCAGCACCCCAGCAGACCTGTCCCAGATCTCCTGACGCTCAACTCAGAATTTTCCCCTAAATATCCCACTCTCACCTCAAACTGTGGAAAGGGGGTCATCCCACCTTGTGACTCTGGCTCTTCCCGCCCCTTCAGGTCTGTGGCTCAAGCTCTAAAATGGGGGCAACCATGGAGCCGGAGCACTTTGACCAGGTTACCACATACTTTAGCGACGTCGTGGGGTTCACCATCATCTCGGCCCTGAGTGAGCCCGTTGAGGTGGCAGCCTTGCTCAACACCCTCTACACGCTGTTCCATGCTGTTCTGGCAGCCACGACGTGTATAAGGTGAGAGTACCAGGAGGCTGGCATCCATCTCTCCTTCCTTTACTACAGTGTTTGTGACGTACATTTACCTCCGGTTGTTTATTTTTGTGTTTTTATCAGTTAGCCCTTGCTGTGTAACAAATCACCCCCAAACCCAGTAGTATAAAATGATCAGCCTTTATTACTGCTCACAAGCTGATAGGTCAGTTCTCTGGACTCGGCTGGACTCGCTCGTGCATCTGTGGTCAGCAGTGGGTGACACAGGAGGCTCTGCGGATCTTGGCTGGGCTGGCTCACTTCTCTGGAGCCTTGTCTGGGACTGCTCAGCTCTGGTCCACGTGGTCCCTCATCCTCCAGCGGCTGGTTGGAATCGTTTGCACGGGTGGCAGGGTTCTGAGAGAAGGCAGAAGCACAGAAGCCTCTTGAGGTCTAAGCTGGGACTGGGCAAGTTGCTTTCTCTGTCATATTCTGTTGGTCAGAGCAAGTCAAAAGGCCAGCCCAGACTCAAGAGGTGGGGAAATAAACTCCCCCAGTGCTGGGCGAGGGGAGACCGATGGGTCACCTCCCATGCTTGTCCTCAGGGAGCCCTCCGTGCTGCAGGTGAAAGAGGAAGACAGCTCACAGTGAAAGTAATGATCAGGGGAGGCAGAGCAGGCTGGCAGAGCACCCACTCCAGCTACGGGAAGACGTGTGAAGAGCGAGGAAGTCTTCCTGGAGGAGGCGTTGTCTCCCTAACATTGTCCAGTCTGGATGTGGTTGCTCCAGGCACCCATGGGGGAACAACGTGCTAAAGCTTGAGGCTTGAGAGGGCGGCCTGGTGAGTGAGAGGAACGCTGAATGGGTTGTGATGGCTGGACGTGAAGTGGGCCAGTGGTGGGAGTGGGTGGGTGGGTGGGAGCACTGGATGGGGCGGCAGGGGTCCTGGCAGAGCCGTCAAGACCCTCCGTGAGCTAGTCCCTGTGCACCTCTCCATCCTGCGTTGGAGTCCCAGTCAGGCCACCACCTTCTGTGTGGCTTTGGGCAAATGGTCTCCCCTCTCTGGGTCTCTGTTTCTCCATCTCTGCAACAGGAATGATGACCCCCGTCCCGTCCCGGGGCTTCACGGACGATGGGCGGGTCCTGTTCCCCTTGGAGAAGCGCTGTGTAAACTGTGGAGTAATCCTGCTAGCCTTCTGCCCCGACGCTCTTCAGCCTCCCCTGTATGGGGACTCTCCCGTCCCAACCTGCCTCTTTCGGTTGCTGGGGTGTTGGGTCAGAGTCAGACATGGCAGGCGGGGGAGGTGGGGAGGGAGGGCCCAGGAGACGGCCACACTCAGGCTCTGCTGGACTTAGCCTTCCTTTGGGACCCGCCAGCCCACTTCTGGCCATAGCCCACCAAGGAGACAGCGACAGGGGAGGGCCAGGCGCAGGGCTGAGGCCAGGATGGAAGGGCGCCTGGACAGCGAGCTTCAGAGGAGAGAACTAACTCTCCGAGGGGCTAAGCACCCTGCTGACAGCATTGTGCACAGTGCCAATAATTGCCAGTACTTATTGAGTGCTTACTGTATAACTGACAGTAGTCTAAGTGCTTTATATGTATTAACCCATTTAATCATCTGAGCAGTCTGTGAGGTGGGTGCTGGTATCCCTAATCTATAGATGAGGAAACAGGCGATTAAGTGGCTTGTCTAATTACATATTCCCAGTGGCATGTGAAGCTGAGATTTGAACTTGGACATTCTGGTCCCAAGACCCTGCTCCAGGGGCCCTCACCATCCCCATGACACGGACGTCCTCAGGATAAAGCCACAAGTTCACAGTGGCCCATAAGGCCCTTCAGGAGCTGGTCCCACCTCCCCACCTGCATCTCTGACCACTCCACCTCTGAAGCCTCTACATTCCGCATATGTGCTTTGCTTTCCCCAGCCACCGGGCCTTTGTACATGCTGTTCCCTCCTCCCAGAACACTGCTCTCCCTTGTCTCAGATGACCTTGGTCTCAGGTGAACTTCCTTTCCTTCCCAGAAGTGGCTCAGAGTGCCTGTTGGTGCTTTCACAACTACCCCTGGACGACACAGCCACACTTTACGGTTCCAACATAATCACTCTGTCCCCACTGCCTGGCAATGTCCAACACACGGCAGGGCCTCAGGAAATGTATGTAGACCAAATGAGGAGCTCACTGAGGCCCAGAGAGCGAGGTGCCTGGCCTGAGGTCACACAGCTGGTAGGCGGCAGAGCCAGAACAGGGACCCACGATGTCCACCCGTGCCACCTGGCTCTGTCCACTGCACCACATTGCCCAACACTGACCTGCGGAGACCCGAGCCGCTGACCTTCCAAGGATGCAGCTTCCCTCCCATCTCCCGTTGAAGACCCTACGTTCCTACCCCAGCCCGCTGTCCTGAGGCGTCGTCTCTCATTCTGGCTGAGTTCCCCTCTTGCCTCCAGAGCCGCTCCAGCCCCAGGGGCCCCAGGAAGAGATTCCTCATCTGGTCTCGCTGAGCCCCGCGGCTTTGATGTGCCCTGAGTCGCCCCTGGCCTCGTCTCTTCCTCCCCTGCTAATCTTTTCTCACACGTGTCCCTCCCAGCTCTGAGTCACACCTTCTGATCTGCTCTGAACCCTGGCCAAGAGGTCTGCGTCTTTCTGGCAGAACAAAATGAAATGAAACGAGGTCCACACACCCCTCCAGATGTGGGGAGACAGGGGACCCGTTCCTCGCCATGTGCGAGCTCGTCTCTCATCACTCACGCCGTCCGCCTCGGTTTCCCCTCGTCCCCAGCAGGATCTGGTTACCGCTGTTTAATCCGGCCTGGGCTGGGAGGCAGCCAGGCGACCATTTCCTGATTCCACAGGAGTCTGTGATTCCCTCCCAGCAGGCGCTGAGCGAGCTCTTTTACGGACATAACTCCAGAGGGGAGCCCATGTGGGCTGCGGGGGAGGACAGGACCTACCCAGCCGCTCAGCCCCGGGGGTGCGTCTGTCAGCCATTCTGCGGAGTGACCCTGGGCAAATCACTTCACCTCTCTGAGCTTCAAGCTTCCATTTGTAAAACAGAAGTGAAAGTGCCTATGGCTTGGGATCCCCTGCAGATTAAGCAAGGTGAGAGGAAGTGCCGTCCTTCATTCCTTCATCAACACAATGACAGCGACAACCCAGTAAGAGCAGGTGATGAGGCCTCCCCCTGAAAGCATAGAATGTGGGTGGGGGGCACTAGCATGGGTTAAGCATCTACAGAGGACAGGCCTGGCCTAGGGATTATCACAGGGTATGTCATTTAACCCTTGAAATGTCCCTCAGAGGGATGGATCATTATCCCTACTGTACAGGTGAGGACACAGGCTCAGAGAGGGAAGCAACTCACCCAAGGTCACACAGCAAGCCAGTGATGGAGTTGGAATTCATGGCTGTGTTTGTTAGCATGGAAAATTTTGCTCTCAGCTCTCTTCTACCTGTGTTCCCCCGTCTGCAAAGGACCAGAGCCTTGAACGATGAGCCCCAGCCCTTGGTAGCCCTGAGTGTCCACGGCGCCAGGAGGCTTTGAGTGGCCATCTTTGCAAGTCCGAGCTCCTAGAGAGTGGGCCCTGTGCCTGGTCATCCTTCTTTCACTGGGATTGTAGGGATGATTATTGATTGCACCAAACTCTCCCTTCCAGCTCAGTGGCAGGCAGGGGGAGGGCTAGTGGGCAGCTTAGCATCTTGGAGAGTGTGGGCTGGATGTGTGGCCACCATGGGGCTTTCAACGGCTTCTCCTTCCCAGCCTGGACCTTGAGTCACCCAGCTGATGCAGGCTGGTCCCCGGAGCAGGTGTACTGCAGGTGAATTGCAGCTGCCCAGCTGGCGGGCTGGAAGTGGGGCCAGGGAGCAGTAGGTCTCCCGGTGGCCTCTGGGAGGCAGGACCCGGCCCAGACACAAGCGCTGGGCAGGAGCAGAGGGACATCCTGTGCAGCAGACAGATTCTTCTCAAAAGAGAGCCAGACAGGCCCAAGCCATGTGCATCAGGAGGCAGCATAGCATACAGGCTCCGGAGCTGGACTGACCAAGTCCAAATCTGTGCTGTGTGACATTGGAGAGTGACTTAACCTCTCTGGCCCAGTTTCCACCTGCAAAATGGCAATAGTAAGGCTACCTACCTCACAGAATTCTTGTGAAGATCAAATATGCATTTATGTTTGTAAAGGGTTTGGCACAGTGGCTGGCACGTTATAACTGCTGTACGTGTATTTAAGGGGGCACTTTTTCCAATCTTGCCCTTCCGATAACGCATTCTTCCTCCTCTGGGGAAGCAGAGGGCGGGGAAGCAGAGGGCGGGCAGAGGGAAAGCCAGGCTTGCTCGTCTTTACCCCTCCTGGGGCGTGGGGTGGGGGGGCTCTCTCTCCTCTGTGAACGGTACTCAGTGGGGGGTAGCCCTGCCCCCTGCCCCGCCATACTCCGCTGCCAGCCCACAAGTGCTGGGTGACGGATGACAGGTGACGGATGACGGGGAGGGAGAGGGAGGTCGCAGCTGTGAGGAGGAAGTGACTTTTTGGTGACTGGGAACATCTTACGGATGTGATGAAGCGTGAGCTGGGTTGATGGGGGCTCGGTCTCCACGGATGGGGACCCGGGGCGAGCATTTCAGGCAGAGGGACCTGGATCAGGCCTGGAGGTGAGCACGTGGCTCTGTGGGGAGGAGAGAGGTTCCCGTGTGGCTGAAGTGTGGGGAACCAGGAGCGACTGCTCGGAAGAAGTCCGGAAATTCTGCAAATCATGGCGGCGGTTGGCCAGGAGCAGATTGCAGTGTCTGAGCAGAATGTGCATGGTTAGGGCAGGTCACTTCCCGGTGTTTGGCTGGGGACAGCCCGGGTGAGGGAGAGCTGTGGGGACACAGGAAGAAGGCACAGTCCATGGCCAACGTGTGAGATTTACTGAATTACAGCGCCTCCTATGGGCAGGCAAAAGCATCATCATTATTATTACTGTCCGCCAGGTGCTAAGGGAGAGTGGGTGTCCCTGGCCAGAGGGACGGCTCTGCCCGGCCCGGGTGCCGCCGATGAGCGCTGGCTGTGGGAGCGGCAGTGGGGGAGCTGGGCTCTGGGGCCGACCGGAAGACTCGGGGTAGAGTCACTGTCCTCTCCTTGGCCGGCCTGGCCTGTGGCAGGGGAGAAGGCCACCACACACACCTGCGTCCCCAGCGCCTGGAACAGGGCCTTCGGAACAGAGAAGGCGCTTGGGAAAGATCTGTGGAGACGGTTCAGGAGGTACAGCTGGGACCAGCAGGTGAGAGGCAGGTTCCAATGCAACTCAACATTTGCCTGCAGGGAGAAGCAACCACCCCGAGAGGAGGGCCCTTCCTGTCAAGAGACGTGAGCTGGCCAGCACGGCCCTGGGGCCGGGGGAGATGGGAGCCTTTCAAGTCCCTCCTGCTTCCGAGATTCTGGGGTTTTGTCTTCTCCAAAACCATTAGCCAAGGAAATAATGACAATGACGATAAAGACAGAAGTCTCCGTTTATGGAGCATCTGTGATGGGCCTGGTTCTTCCCATACTTTATCTTTAAAATACGCGCCACATAGAGGAAACTGAGGCCTACATGGGTGAAGTGGGCTGCCTCAGGTAAAGGGCAGAGCCAGGGTTCAAATCCACATCTATCTGATTCCAGCATCTGCCTTCTCCCCAGTGCACCTGGGAAGGCCCCCGGGGTTTGGGAGAGAGGAAAGGTATCCACTATGTACGTGCTCTTCTCTAGCTTGGAGCCCTGCTGGGCGCTGGGGCGTGGTGCAGATGGGCGCCCAGGTCTGTTCGTGGCCTGGGGTCTGAGGAGCCGAGACAGGTGTGGTCACCCACACTTCAGGGTCATCTGAAATGTGACACCCAGTTGTTGCCGGAGAGCCCGGAACGGGTGGCCTGGCAGAGACGGAACTGTGGCCCAGGGACCAGTCAGGGGCTCCCCGAGGCGGCCTCGTGCTTGATGAGGGACAGGCCAGCAGGTGTATTCTTGGGCTGGAGCATGAAGGCTGTGGCTTCTAGGTGAAGACCATCGGGGACGCCTACATGGTGGCATTGGGGCTGCCCCGGCACAACCGGAGCCGGCATGCGGCTGAGCTCGCCAACATGGCCCTGGACACCCTCAGCTCTGTGGGCGACTTCCGGATGAGGCATGCGCCCACCGTGCCCGTTCGCATCAGGGCTGGCCTGCACTCAGATATGGGCAGGGGCCGGGGTGACAGGCCAGACCAGTTCCCCAACCCTGCCTGGGGCATTGGCTGGGGCAACCTCAGTGGCATGCTTCTGGAATTCTGAGATTCTAGAACCCTATGACACAAAGGTTTTACATTTCTTTCTTTCTTCTATTATTTTAAGGTTCTAAGATATTATAAACCAAAGAATCTGTGATGCTCAGATTCACACATCTTTCCTTTTGTTGTCTCAGCATCTGTCGAGGGCATCTACATCCATGCTGAGGAGCTGGCAGTCTGATGGAAGAGGCAGGACAGGGACCCTCTGCTGTCATGCGAACTGCATGTTTGCTGGGTGGGTCTGGGCGAGACCTCAGGGTCTCTAATACATCCTTCTGATGCCCCGGCTCCCTCCTCCCTCCGTAGTTTCACCTGCAGGATAAAGTCCAAACTCCCCTCCATGGTCTGCAAAGCCCTTGCTAATCTCTCCAGCTCAGCTCCCTCTCCGCTTGGCCCTCCATCCATACTCCAATGCTTGCAGTTTCCCTCAGACACGGGGGCCCTCTGCCTCTGTGCCTTTGCACCTGCTGCTTCCTGCCCACTCATTTTCTCATCCCTCAAGACACAGCTCATGCACTTCCTCCTCCTCCAGGAAGCCCTCTGAGCTGGGTCAGAGTCTTATTTCCGGACTGGCACGGCTCTAGTGGTTCACTCTTTACCGCATTGTTCACAGTTTACCCATCTCCCCCTGCAGGGCTGGGAGCTCCCCAAGAGCAGAGACTGACTCCGATTTATCTGTGTCCCCCCGCCCCCTGCCCAGAGCCTGGCACAGAGGTCATCTCCTTTCTGGGTGTCATAGAGACTCCAGATAGCTTTATCCTCACCCCTAGTCAGAGCCCGGGCTGCAGGGTGGGGATGGCAGTGGGCGTGGGGAAAGACAAGACTGTCATGGGGACCTCTCTCTGGCCATGGCCTGCTGGAGCTCACCAGGCACATTGCACCTCAGGGCTCTGCATGGTGGGTGTCGTGGGGCTCACGGGCCTCTTTGGGGACACTGTTAACACTGCATCCCGGATGGAGTGCACGGGGCTGTGTGAGGGTCTCGTGTTTCTATCCTGCCCGGGAAGGACTCTCTCAATGACCCCTGCAGCCTGGCTCTTTGAAACGGTGCTTAGTAAGCAAATCTCCGCCTGGTGGCAGCATCCCCTAGGTGTCAGTAAAGCAACTGGAGGGAGAGGATGTCCACCCCAGTTCTTTTACCTTTTCGCAGGGTTTTTGTGAGGATTCATGGGAGAAGCAGCAGAGAGAACGAGGACTGGAGAGGCAGGAGACCATGGTCCTGGCCTTGGCCCCGCCTGGTTTGCCCAGAATGCTCTCCCTCTATATCTTGTGTCCCCATCTATATAACAAGGAGACCCCTTCCAGTTTTTTAAATGCCATCGTCGGTTCTTGCTGGCAGCGGGAGTCACTCTGACTCTTGGTTAGAGCAGCTGAAAAAGCTCAAGTCCTAGGACCTCTGCTTGTGGCCGCATAGGCCATGTGCTCCATGATGTTGTTCAGTGCACATCCTGCATAACCAAACCTGGTGGTCCTATTGGGGTGACCTGCTCTTAAAAGAAAAATAAAAGCTGCTTATCTGCCCTGACTCAGCCTCCATAGGCTTCCCTGCAAGGAGAAACGGTGTTCCTAGTGCTTTTGGCTTCATCTTGAGTGCCTCTTAACGCTCAATCTTTGTAATTTGCTTTTCCTCCAGGCCTCTAGTTTAATGACTGACAATCTACTAGAGGGCCAAGAAGGCCAAGTGAAGAGTATCGCATGGAACAGAACTATGTGATTACTGGCTGGAACTGGGGCTGTTCCAGGCTCTTAATGACTTTACCGAACACTCGGTACGCTGCCACCAGGTGGTGACTTGATTCCCACATTTCTCCTCAGCGTACAGAATTCACGTCAGCAGGAGCACAGTCTAGACACTGCTCAGCCTGGATGAAGCCTACAGAATTGACGCCAGAGGCCAGACGGAGACGAAGGTGAGACACTTTCTTTCCTGGGCTTGGTGGGAAAAGTCCCCAAAGTTCCAGTTTCTATGGGCAGCGGGAGAGATTCTCGTCTGACTAATGTTGCTGGAGGAAACTCCTGCCTGAAGTCGGGGATGGAGTCGATCACCTTTCCACGTCCTCTCAACTCCCCAAAGTCTAAGGAAACATTTCTTCCTGGAAGCCAGTCCCTCATTTGGCTCCTCATGAGGAGAAGGGCCAGGGCAGAGCAGTTACTTCTATTGATGACCTGCCTGGGCAGCACGCTGGTACACAACATATATTAAGATATTTATTACTCACAGCAATAGTGAAAGGAGGATCAATGTTCCCATTTATAGTGGAGGAGATTAAATCAGAGAGGCAAAATGACTTGTCCAAAATCACACAGCTTGTATCCTGGGTCTGGTGGCTCCAAGCCTGCACCTTCTCTGTAGCACTGTTGGGCTCCTACTCATCCCTCAGAACCCTAGCACAGACATCACCTCTCACTGAAGTCTGCCCTGACCCAGAGCACTCTTCTTCCTTTCTCTCAGCAGTAACTGTCATGCCTTCTCTGTGCACCCAGCAGTGCCACCACCCGCCCTCTGCTGCTGTAGGTACGATATTGGGTGGCACTTGCCCACAAGCACCTCAAAGGCAGAGACGGCCCTGTAACCTCTGTGTTCTTTTTTTAATGTTAACGTTCAATAAAGGCAATGGTACAGTATTCCTGTGAGTGACTTTTCTTCCTCCCCCACCCCCTCTCATTCCCCCAGTTCCCCAGCTAGGGCCAGGCCTGGGGATGCCGAGAGGGAGCTGGGAGGGCAGCGCACCAACCTCAGCTTCTTCAGGCCGGCCCCGGGCTCCAAGGGGCAATCCCCATCCCCGGCCCAGAGCCGGGGACAGAACCTCTAGACCAGCCGGCTCTGACCTCAGGGCCCCTCTGCCCCTCTACTCCTCACCTCCAGACAGCTGCCCTCCCACCCCAGGGGAGGCCAGCAGGTCCTTCAATGGCTGGGGAAACTCACAGATCACAGACTCAGTGGCATCTGAGCATTTCAGAGCTGCTGGTCTTAGAATTTGTGATTCATTACTTATTTATTTCCCTAACAGAGAAATATTAACTCATTTCATCCTTGCATTGACTCCATGGAGCATTAAGGACACTGAGGCACAGAGAGGTGAAGTAAATTGGCCAAAGTCACGCAGCTAGCAAGCGACAGACCCAGGATTCGGACCCAGACAGCCCGCCTCCAGGCTCTAGGCTGCTCTCCCCCAAGCCACTGGAATTGCCTACCTACCGCTGCCCCGCTCTCTGCTCCGTGCCCTTTCCTCTCTCTTCCAGGGGGAGGGGTGGAGGAGGAGACCTGGCTGGCGGGGAAGGCAGGCTACCCCAGACCCCTCCCCACACATACGGACGTCAAACCTGGGTGAGTAAGACGAATTTCTCCAGAAGCTTAGCCTCTTCAGCTTGAAATTTGATATCTGCTATTTTTCTGATTATGAAAGTATTACCCGCCCTAGTGTCGAAAACGTGGAAAATACAGAATTCTTTAATGATTAAATGTCCGCATCTTCCTGCTCCTGAGGCAGCCGGTGAGCCATCAGCGGGGTTCCCGCAGGTGTCTCTGCTGCGTTCGCTGTGGGTGGGATCCTGTTCCTCCATGACCTCGCCTCCTGACGCGTGCTCTCGGCCCCCAGATTGTCCAGAGCGCTAGGTAAACACACAGCGTCGGGATTGCGACACGCGGGCGCGCCACGATTAGCTCAACCCTCCGCTTGTGGCTGATCACGTAGGAGCTGCCCATGCTGAGCTGGTTGCGGTAAAGTGTTAACAAATATCACCGAGCATTTGTCGCCATTCAGACGATCTCTGAAGACGAGGAATTTATAGACCGAAGGGCACTCACATTGTAAGGGCCGAATGACGCAGATTCTCTGAGCGCTTGCGCCTGCCCAGCAACTTGCTTCTTCTCTTTGTCCTCTGCCCTTTGGGACCCCACATCCTAACACGGGGATGCTGTGGGGGGGAAGCGATAACGTTTTGCTTTGACGTGCTGTTCCTCACTCCCTTCCACCCAAGCAGTGGACAGTCCACAGAGGGCCGGAGTGCAAGGAGCACAGGTGTGGCCAGTGGCTGAGAATTACAGTTTCCCAGATGTGAGAAGGCCCCGAGGCCCACAGCGGCCCACGGGCTCATTCCCCCGGCTGGGACACTGAGCCTGGGGATGGGCAGTGCCCCGCTCGGCCCCCACAGCAGCACCACGGCAGAGCTCCCTGCTCAGAGTTTTTCCTTTATCGGAACTCCCGGCTGGCTCCTCTCAGCTTTTGCAGGATGGCCCCCAACGCAGGGCTGCCCCCTCCCATCTCTCAAGGACAAGAAATGCGTGGGAGACACATGGGCTTCCTAGGGAAAGACCAGCGCTGAGGCAGCCCAGGCTGCACGTCCTCCAAGCGGACGGGCTGACGTGGACAGGGCTGCTGCAGGCACCGGTTACAGCAGCCACTTCCACACCATCCTGCCGTCAGGTGCCCCCAGGCCTCGGGGCCCCAGGGACCCCAGGGCACAGCAGTGCCAGGGGACAGGAGCTGTCCCCGTTCATCTCTGAGTGCCCTCCCTCAACACGCAGCAGCGTCCAGCAAGGGGGCGGGCGTGGACGGGCCCACCCTGGCGTACGGAGAAGGGCCGGGGTGCAGAACACACAGGACACGCCAGCCTCCTGGGCACAGAACCAGCAGCCCAGGGGCCTGCAACCTTTGGACAGTCCTTGTGTGGACGGATGGGGCTGGTTGTGTGACTTGTGGCGGGTCCCTGTCCTCCCTGGGCCTCCCCATGTGCCAAAGCAGCCCCAGCTCTCCCATCCCTGGGGAGAACGGCTGGGCCTCTCGTGCCCTTTCCCCGTCCAGCGAGGTCCTCTCTGTCAGCCCTCCTCTCCTGCCCTCCTGTCCCCTGACCTCGCGCCCTTGCTACCCACCCCACCTCTGCCTCCCGCTCGGGAGCTGTGCTTCTCAGAAGGCCCGTCTGCTGACGCTGGCTTCACTTCCTCACCTCCCACTCCCTGCCCTGCTCCTGCGTCTGCCTTCCACCCCCACCTGCCCCCAGGCTCCGTGACACCGGTGACCTCCACCCGTGTCACTAGATCCGTGGGCAGTTGTAGTTCTCAGCCCGACAGCTCAGCAGAATTTCCCCTTTGCGCTGGCTCTTCCTAGAAACAGGACGCTGCCCCTCTGAGCTCCAGGCCCTGCAGCTCCCGCGGCTGCCCTCAGCAATGCCTTCTGCAGACCCACTGGGTGCCCCTGTGCCCGCAGCCTGGCCCTGCTCCAGGGTTCTCTTCTCCCTGACAGCCTCACCTTCCTCACCCAGAGGGCCCGCTCCTCTCCTCCCCTCAACCCTTAAATGTTGGGGTTGCAGAGGGCGCCTCCCTGGGGCTGCCCTTCCGACGCTGCCCCTCTGAGCTCCAGGCCCTGCAGCTCCCGCGGCTGCCCTCAGCAATGCCTTCTGCAGACCCACTGGGTGCCCCTGTGCCCGCAGCCTGGCCCTGCTCCAGGGTTCTCTTCTCCCTGACAGCCTCACCTTCCTCACCCAGAGGGCCAGGCGCTGTCCTGGGATCCTCAGCACGTCCCACAGCTCTGCGTCCCTCACACCCCAACCTGCTGCCTTCTGCACCTCCATGTGGGCCCCTCTGCTGGCCCACTGAGGGGGGCTCCTTGCCATTTCCCCTCATCCACTGGGCCCCTCCATTCATCTCCATTGGCAGTCAGCGATTTTTTTAAAGAAAGCTCAAACATGATCAATATACAACTTCCCCGTCTAACCCGCTTGGGTTCTTCCTGCTGCTCTGAGGCTCAGGCTCGAACTGTTTCAAGGCTGCCTCTGAGGCCCTGCTCCGGCTGACCTGTGCCTGCCCCTCGGTCTCGTCTTTCCTGCCACCTTCCACCACGCACCACCTGCTCAGGGCCTCCTCGCTGTTCCCTAAAACACACTGAACTTCCTCCCACCACAGGGCCTTTGCTCTCACTGTCCCCTGCATCTGGAACACCCTGGCCTGCTCCCTTCCCGTCCTGTAGGTCTCAGCTCTGATGCTGCCTGCTTCACCAGGTGGCTCTGATCACACACCCTAGATGGAGCCGGGCCGTCACCCTCTACCCCATCTCCCAGCGCTGCAGCCCCCATAGCACTTGTTACCCCCTGACATTTCCTGCTGATGTGTTTATGGAACTTTCTCCCGCCTGCACAAACCCCAGGAGATCCTGGCCGACATGCGCCTGCAGGTCCCCTATGCCCAGGATGCAGAGAAGGTGGGCTCTCCAGCCCCCGCCGGCTCCCCCGCAGGGCCCTGGCCGTGCAGCCCGGCTCCCAGCCCCCAGCCCGCCCGTCCTGGGAGTGGGAACCGGCAGGTCTGGCAGCCATGTGTCATCCCCAACTCCCTCAGCTGATGACTTTCCCACTCCTGGACAGAAACTTTAGAAAGTGCCAGAAATGTTTTCATCTTCTTGGCTCAGGGAGGGAGGAGAGTGGAGATCAGCCCCAGTGAGCTCCACCCGGTTTGGGAGCCTTGCAGGCCTCCAGGCAGGCAGGGCGGGAATCGGCACCCGCCTCGGCCCACGTGCTCAGAGCCGGTAGGTGGGCGCACAGGGGACCGCGCACGCGCATGTGGGCGTGCGCACACGAGCACACACACTGCGCTCGTCTTGGGCACGAGGTACACACACATACGGAAACCCCACCACATGCCCCTCCGCCTACCTGGAGGTGAGATCACAGACAGGCCAACAGACGCAGACACTTGGAATCCCTGTGGGAAGGGCTCAGGGCGGCCCCGGGATGCACGCCTGTCCTGGAGTTGTGTTTACAAGGCAGTTACCGAATTTTTACCAGAACTGTGCGCTATAGCTTGATTTTTTTTTAAAGATGCTTTTATCCTCACTTTCTGTATTTGCCGTATCTGCAGAAGTTACTAATCTTTGTATTTGTGTGTTTGGGGAGGCTGATGCGGATTGGGGTAAGGTGTCAGAAGCCCCTCCCCTGTCCTGGTGGAGCCCACGGAAGTGCCTCCTGTCACATGGCACAGAGACAGCCCACACAGTGGTCCTTCCTCCCCCCTCTCGCCCTGGCACCCAGCCTCCAAATTGCCCTCTGCCAGGTTGCTGTGAGGTCCTGGCTGTCCCTGGGAGCCTTGCTCCCTTCTCTGTACAGAGGCCATAACCCGCTCTCCCCTCCTCTGGGCATGTGCGGGAAGCAAAGGAGAAAATGAGTGTGTGCAGGGCCCAGTGTCCCCACCCCGGATTTGCATCATGCCTGGAGAGTCACAGAGCCCCTCTCGCCGTGGCCTCATGGCCTCCCAAGTTCACGTCCTGAGCGGGGGACAGAGCCGGGGCTAGCTCCCCGTCTCCCAGGAGGCCTCTGGACTGGAAGCCACATATGCAGACAAGCCAGCAGCGCATCACCTCTCTGAGCCTTGGTCCCCAAGGTTCCAAGTGCGGAGGGCGCTGGGATGGCCACGGCAGGGCTGCTGCAGGGCCCAGGAGGAGCCGAGGGGGTGAAAGGGGCTCCTCGTAAGCAGCTGTGGGCTCCAGCAACTACCACTCTTGTTCTGGGGGGTGGGTTTGTTATTCTTGTTTCTCCTTTTTCCCTAGGGACCCTTGGCAAGACCTCATAAACCAAGAAATCAAGATGGCCTTTGCCCAAGCCCACCAGTGCCCAGCCAGGCCCTGGAGCTTGGGGAAGGCCTCGGCTGGACCCTGAGGAGAGGGACAGGGTGGGGCAGGGGCCTGTGCCAGCCAGACTCTTGCGCCTGCACACCCTCAACCCCTCCCCGCTCCATTCCCCTCAAAGAATCCTCTCGCTGAGCTCCTCAAGCCAACTGGGTGCTCATTAGCAAGTGCGCTGGAGCGACAGTAATGGATGCGTTCCGGTATGACTCCTAGGGGCAAACTTGCCTCTTGACGCAAAAACAATAAAAATAGAAATATTCCACCCCTCTCATGCAGCGCTTTGCTCTTGACAAATCATTTTGACTCTGAGAGCTCCTTGTTATAAAGCTCATTGTTCCTGGCGTCAAGAACACAGCCCCAGTTGTACAGCTAAGGTGCCCAGGCCCAGAGGGAGGAGGCCGTTTGCCCCGGTGGCACAGCTGCTACAGGCAGAAGCAAGACAGGGGCCGGGAGCTGGAGCCAGGCAAATGAGGGCTCTGGGCTCAGCGGGGCCACCTCCTCGTGTCACGTCACTTCTCTGAGTCTCTGTTTTGTCATCTCTAAAATGGGCATTGAGGGGGCCCACATAAGGCTTGTTCCTGACACAGGGCTCAGCCTGCAGCAAATGCTCAAGCAGGCTGCCTCTTTCCCTCTCTTCTCCAGCCGGCCTAACCCTCTGGGCATCTGTGAGCACTGTGCTGGGAGTCCAGGTTTTGGGCTCTCAGAATCTCAAGGGAGAGGAGGGGAGTGGAGTGATAATTCCCTGGTTCTTAGGAAAGTGACACTTCTGTCTTACAGAAAGAAAAACAAACAAAAAACCCCACAGCCAACTCATTTGACTGGCTTCCGACATCGGAGTGCTCACCAGACCCCCAGGCTGATTTCAGAGCAGACAGACCAGCGCACGTGGAATTCATTTCCCTGACGGAGGGGCCAGGGTGGGGGGCAGGGTAAGCTGCGAACAAACTCTCCTTCCTCAAAAGACCACTCGGGAGAGGGAGCTGGCACTGGAACTGAACTCAGGTCGTTCAGAAAATGTTCTGCCGGTCACTGTTGTCACAGAGGCCAGGCTGCCTGTGTGTGCGTGTGCGTATGCGTGCGTGTGTGTGTGTCAGAGAGAGGGCCGTGAAAGGGATGTGGATGATGAACGTGTGGAGCCACGAGTGGCTGTGTGGTGGAAAGTGCTGGACTCGACTCTGGGAGATGCCGCTGTGGCCCCTTCCTGCGTGACTCTGGACCTAACATTTTTACGCCTGTTTCCTCAAATGCAAAATGGGGCCAGTCACCCTTCCCTCCCACGTCCTTGTGACAACCACTGAGAGGTCTGGCCCCGAGCGAGCCTGTGGGAGTTTGTGGAAGGGAGGATGTGGGTGGCCTGTCTGTGGACGTGCCCACGGCTCAGTGGGTGATCGTGACTGCGGTCCTGGGGTGCGGGGACAGAGCATGGCCCTGTTCCTCCGTGACCTCTGGGTGGCCGCCTTAGGCCTGTGGCTTTTCTCTCTGGGCCTCAGTCTCTTCCTCTGTAAAAGGAGGGTTTGGTCCAGGTGGCTGCAAGTTCCCTCTGGGCTGGGGGTAGATGGAGACCGAACATGGCGGGCAGACGCGGGAGACCAGAATTCAAACCAGGACTCAGCTTTCCTCCCGTGAGCAGTCAGGGGGCCTCTCTAAGCCCTCAGCCCCTCACTGCACGGTAGAGACCCGACCCCGGCCCTTACACACCACTCATCAGGCCGCACTGTGGCAGCATCCCACATAGAAGAACTGGAATGACTTACAACTAGGATATACAACTATGTACTGGGGCTTTGGGGAGAAAGAAAAAAAAAAAAAGCAGAAGATTGGCAACAGATGTTAGTTCAGGACCAATCCCTCCTCAAAAAACAGACAAACAAACAAAACCTTCCTCCATCAGCTGGAGACGGGGTCAACAAGGAGGAGGGCCAGTGGCTGCCTGGCTCCTGTGTGGTGCCCCTGCCCGAGGCTGGGCTGGTTTCCTCTGCCCGGGAAGCCTTTGGGGCTCATTTATTCCACATTTACCCACTGCCTGCTATGGGGCAGGCCCCAGGCCTGGAGTTTCCATGGTTTCCATCTCAACCAGAACCGCTCTCTGAGACAGGAGCTATTGCCCACTTTCTAGAGCAGGAAACAGAGGCTCGGAGGGAAATGAGTCGTCCGCGCCAGCTCTGTCTGTCTCTGATCTGAGATGGTCACACAGTGGTACACGCACAGGGAAAGAGCCTCTGGGAGGCTTCCAGGGGGCTGCCTCAGGCACACAGCCCTCTCCTCCAGGAATGGGGCGTGAGGACAGACCTTCCTGGAAAGGCCCAGGCGGCTCTCGGAGCTGGCCCTCCTCTCAGGAGGAGCAGGCCCAGCATTTGCATGGGGCTTCCCTGCGCACATCCAGGTGGAACCCCAGAGATGGGGCCCCTAGTCACGACTTTCATGATGAGTCAATGTCAGCTGGTCCCCATGAGGTCCCCTCCTGTCCCCCACCAGCCTGGGGCCATCCTCCTGTCCCTTGGGATGGGTTTCCAGCAATGGGACACCTCAGCCATCTCTAGGGGATGGGATTCTCCCTTTGGTGGATGGGGCCATGGGGCTCCAGAAAGTCCTCATAGGGCTGGGTGATCTTGGGTTGCCTGGTTCATGGTTCTTCAACCAGGCACAAACTGGGACAGACTTCTTGCAAAAACGCAAACACTAGCCTGACATTTCAGGCCCTACATACGCCAGCCTCACCTCATCTGCCCTCGGCACACCCAGCTCTCTGGCTATGACAGCCTGCTTCCTCCTCTCCAAACCCCTCATGATGCCACAACTTGCTTTTGCTATTTTCTCTACCTAGATGACCTTATCCCTTTTTCAACATTTGGTGAACTCCTACACATCCTTCAAAGTCCACTGAAAAGCCACCTCCTCCTGAAACCCTTTCCCAACTGCCCTGTGTATGTAACAAGCTGTTGCCATGCCTGACCCTCCCTTGACGGCAGGAACCTTATCTAGTTCATTCCTTCAGTCCAACGCCCAGGAAGTGGCGTGCGCTGGGAGGTTGAATTGATGGATGAACAAGGAAACTAGTGAACTAGTTAGTCCAAAGGCTTTTAATGAACCATCTCCCCTCCTGCAGTGCCGGCTCCCAAGGTCTCGCAGAGCTTCTTTTCTATGTTCCCTGCTTCTGGGCTTGTTCATCCGCTGCTTCATTGCGATCTGGCCCATCAGATGCAGGTGGGTGTGTGCCTGTGGCTTTCCTGGCTGCCTGTGTCTCCTCACCACCACCCCTCCTGTTGCTATAGATGCCCTCACCTCCAAACCTGCACCCGCCCGAGGGCTCTTCCCCAGCCCTCTGCTTCCCACCCCTTCCAGCCAACTCCTCCTTACCCTCTATGCTTCTGCTCCTCTGCTGTTTCCTCCAGGAAGCCTACCCTGAAACTTTGACTTCCACCCCTGTGGACCGCAGGAGGGGTACCTCCTATGGCCCCTTAGCCCCCTGACCACCCTGCCCAGCACTGTTCCTCCAGACTGGGGGCATCCTGAGGGCAGGACTGGGTCTGCCCTCTTTCTGCGACCCTGGTGGGAGAAGCAATGTAACAGGGCAGGGGAGGGGGAGGAGGCCACTGTGGTGGCAGGTGAACCTCGCTTCAAGGAAATCCGAGCACATGAAGATCCAGGTCAGCTCAAAGACTGTTAGAGCTGTCTGGACTCACAGAGGAGGTGAAGCGACGTAGAGTAGGGGGAAGGGACACGCATGTACTGAGCATGTTGTGCATGCATTGTCTCAGGGAGCCGTCCTTGCAGCCCTAGGCAGTGGGTTTCATCATCCCCATTGCTGCTGGGTTCACCTGGGGCTGTGGGATGCAGAAGCCCAGGTTCTTTCCCGAGGGCCGCCTATGCTGCCTTTTGTCACCACTCTGCCCCAGACTTGCGTGCACAAGCCACTCCTGCTCAGGGCTCCAGTCGGGACACGGAATCTCCAAGCTCCCTGTCCAAGGGGTTTCCATGAGTCCCCGAGACTCTTCAGAAGTCCACTAGGGGGCAGGCAAGCTGTTCCAGAGAGAACCAGGAGCCCCTCCAGCAACCCCCAGATTCTTGGCCCTCCGCAGCCAGCAGGCAGGCACCCCGGGCTCGTCTGCCCAGCTAGGGAGGGAAACGATGCTGCACTGATGGGTGGGGCCCAACCCACAGAGGAGTCTTCTTAGGAATCTCCTTGACGACTGAAGGACAGTGAGAGGACCGCAGATCTCAGTGTCCTGTTACTGTCCGAAAGGCCTGGCCCAAGTCGGCACGTGTCAAAGGTTTGTCCAGTCTCCAGCCATTTGCATTCTCTATTAAATGACACACAGTGATGCTCAGTCTTAGCCAGTGCTTCCCTGGATGCTGGCTCGCATGACCCACCACACCCTCTCCTGGGAGACAGGTGTCGGTCCCCCCGCACAGACAGGAGAATGAGGCTCTTGCTGGCAGTCTTCTTCTGTTACTGACTTACACCTTCCTTCTGGGCTCCAGGCTCACAGCTGCCTGCGGGGCACGTCCCTGATGAGCCACAGATCATCTTGACTATGCTCTGCCCGGTCACCTGGCCAGAACCAGGGCTGATCACACTCTCTTCCCTGTCCTTCCATGGCCCACTCCGCACTCCCACGATCCATCCCCAAATCCATCTCGCCCACCACGGGGATCTCCCCTTTGTCCAGGCCCCATCACCGGGGTCCTCACAACAGCCCTGGGCTCTGTGCTGGCCTCCTGCCTCCATTCCCCGCCGGCCCCTGGGGTCCCCAGTCTGCCTGCAGCACAGACCTCACCATGTCGCTTTCCTGCTCAGCACGCTCTGCACTGCTGGTGGCCAGGGCCCTCCACCATGGAGCTCCTGCCAGAGGACCCTCCCACCGTCCCCCCCCCACCCCGATGCCCAGCCCCTTCCCACCCTTGTGCCAAGCGCATCTTGTCTTCTCAAATTGCTCAGTTCCCTGGTTTCAACCTAGAGAATTTTTATTATTAAAAGTAGTCCTATAAGTAGTTATAATAACCCCCCAAAACCTGGAACCAGTTGCCTAAAGACTGCAACCTTCTCATGTCACCATTGTGTCCAGGTGAAAAATCCTTCCAGCTCAAGGAATATCACAGTTTCCACTCGACCTTTCGCCAGAATTGTCCATTGGTTCATGGCCTGAGGGAAGCCAGGCCATGGGGGCGGTCTTTGTTCCCCCTTGTGCCCACCTTGAGCCTACGCTCAGCACTTGTATATAGCCCTGAAACCGACCCAACTTCCCAGAGCAT